CCCTCACTGTCCAGAAGTATTCACAAGAGGGCACTGAATTGGCTCACACTTCTGTCCTGAAGAAGGTATACAAATGCCTCATAGGCACAAGAGCAGCAGGCTGGTTTACTGTGCTCTGAGAAAAGGAAGATCAGAACCTCATTAGAGTAAGTCCACAACCCTGTAGGAAATCTGTGGTCAACAGGAAGGAAGGAAGGAAGGAAGGAAGGAAGGAAGGAAGGAAGGAAGGAAGAAGGAAGGAAGGAAGAAAGGAAGAAAGAAAGAAAGAAAGAAAGAAAGAAAGAAAGAAAGAAAGAAAGAAAGAAAGAAAGAAAGAAAGTGAATAACAGATCGGATATCTAGAAATTGTGGGTTACTAAAGAATTCAAATAGGGCACTAACTGGATTGTTCTACACCAGCATTTGTAGTAACACTATTCACACCAGTGCCCAAAAGGAGATAACAAACACAGATACGCTGTGTACATTCAATGGAATATTATTCAGTATCAAACAGAAATAAAACTGACACATCCTACAGGGATGAACCTGGAGGACATTATCCCAAAGACAGTAAGTAAGACTCAAAAAGGCAAATATTGCATGATTCAGCTTTTCTAATATATAAGGAAGTCCAGTGCTACCTCAGTTCACTAACAAAATCCTCTCAGAGATTCTTCTCACAAACTCAAAAGGACAAGAGCCAAATCAGACTTCCCATAAGCTCAACACTGAATTTACCACTGAGTTTGATTCGGTTCCCACCCAACTTGCGTTTGTGACCAGAAGCACTGAGAGAATCTAATTCATGATCCAAGGTGTCGCTGTAACTCATAAACTCAGGAGAGTAAGGTTAACAGATCAAGGCAAAGGAGGATGAGGAGTTTTCATTTACAGTGTGAGTTATAGTGAGAAGACAAGAGATGCTGAAATTGTGTGGTGTCAGTGGCTACGCAAAAATGAGAATCGGGTGCTAAATGAAACTGAATAGCCCCATCATGATCAATTAATCATAAATTTTATTTAATACCCATTTTACTAAGGTGAAAATTTAGAACAAATAAACCTAGATGAGACTAAATCGTCTCTCTTCCCAAGAGGACCAATCCGTTGGTTCAGTTATTAGAGATTATGAAAGAGATATTGAGGAACATTTCCTGTACTATCTTCATGAAAATTTACTATTAGGTCTTTCCCAAAGACTATTATACTAAAGTGAGAAATGTCTTACTACCCATTGATACATTAAAACATTTACCCGAGTTAATAGTTATTAACAACTTGATAATAATTTGATAATAAAGTGTCTAATGCAGAATAATGATTACTCCTCAAATGCTTGACATATTAAGAATTTCTTCCAATGAGCTTATGTTACATTTGTCAAATGATACAGTAATATAATGTTTGCTACCTGATAAAATCTAAACATGGAGACACATTCTGGCTATGCTCCAGAGGAGAGAAAATAAGTAAAGCAGATGGTCCCATAGGACTTTGAGGTACAATGACATTGGAAGTGGCTGAATAGAATTATTCCCCACTGAGTTGACCCATAGCACACCTAGGAAAGCTTTTACAAAGCTGGCTCTTTTCCAGCCTGGGCCCAGGGCCAGCTGGTGTGCTCTGGACCTGGCCTCTGCAGTCCAAGTCCCCACAGACTTTCCCAAGCAAACACATATATGGACTTCAGATCACCTTCATGTCAAGGCAGCCTGGATTTCTGAGGCTTCCCCGTGTCCACACAGGTGTCCCACTGAGGAGCACAGGGATAAGAGGTGAGTGTGTGAGCTGCAAGGAAAGCATTCAGAGAGGATGTGTGGGGAATATGGCTTTGTTCACAAGATGTGCAGGAGACTATGGTCACCGCCCTCATCTAGATCTGTGAAAAGAGATGAGGAGCCCACACTAAATATGCATTTGTGGGTAGTTTCATATGAGACACAGACTCGTTATAAAGTGTGCAAAACAAATATGAGAACAAGTAATTTTTAAACTAGATTTTTTTTAAAAGACAACTTTAAAAGAAATTTGCTTTGGCTAACATGACTTTAAAAGACAGATACATTGACAGGTGCTCTAGGATTGATAGATTTTTTTCCTTAAAATATAAAAAATGAACTTGCTCATTAAATAGTTTAATGTATCTTTAAAAACATGAAGTTGGTTTTATCTCTGAAAAATTATCATGAAATGTGAAAAAATGAGTATGCTTTTTGGATACTTAACACAAATGGGTAGTGAAACTGTTAATTCAGACCATGGTTGATATAGCCTATAAATTATCTATCTTTACACATTAATACAGTAAAACTGTGGTCTACACCAAATGATCCTCTGCTCTTAAAGAATGAGTGCTTTAAACAATAATAACAACATATGGTTGATATATACCAAGATGTTATATAAATTCATAGGGTATTTTAAAATGTGACATGTTATTGTGTCTTAAATGAACCAAGACATTTACAGAGAAATCATGCTTCAGCATAAACGGCATTCGCGGAGGCAGAATAGGGTCCACCTTCACCTGTGCCGCAGCTTCCAGGTGCAGTTTGAAAAGCCTTTAATTTGGATTCCCTAACCCGACTCCTTTCCTCCAGAGTAGGGATTTATCCATGCAAGTACTAAGGTTTTCAAGTAGAGGTCAACTGCTGGGCAGGACCCCTCTTGGTCACTGGATTTCTGTCCACAGTTGAAACATCCCATTTCTAATCCACCATTGCACATTTAATTACACTCTCACTCTAATTTTGGACAGTGAGTGTAGTACTCTGTGTCAGAATGCTGAAATTCCCTGATGAAATCGCTGTAGGTTCCAGGCACAGAGGTTGCAGTTTCACAGCTGGAAGCGCTTTTCCTAGTAACTTATAAACCTGCTCCAGGGTGTGCAGGGAGCAGGGCATCTGTCATAATCGCGCTGTGTGGGAGAGGCACCGATGGACCCGAGCTCACGTGAAATCTGATGGAGGCCAGCCTTAAGAGCCCATATCCCCATTAGAGCTGTGGAACAGAGCTTTCCTCTCTTCCCGCTTTCACTTGTAAGTTTTGGGGAGTTTATTTCCCCATAAGTACAAGAGAATTCCTAAAGAAATGTCTGGTTTATTTCCACAGCATTTTAGCTGATATGAATCTGTGGATTATAAAAGCTTTGTCATAGATATTTTATGAAAATCTATGTAGTGAAATTTTCCCACGGAAGCTTCTATAGGTGCTACTGTTTTCTAAACACCACTTTTAAAGAGTAAGGGACAATAGTGCGTGTTCTAAACTTACAGCTTCCTATTGGGAGCATCAGATCCTCCCAGGGTCCCTGAGGTGACCCAGGACCCAACTTCCCCAGGCCCGGATCACCCGTGCTGACCTTCCCTGTGACCTCAGCATTGGGTCTTCTTCCTGCCGGCAGTTACCTGAAGGCTCAGCTAAACCACAGCGACCCCTGAACTAGAAACTCCAGTGCCTTTTATTAACCTGCTGCAGCAGAGGATTCCTGAAACCCAGGTGAGGCAGGAGGAGGACAAGAGCAGAGACAGTGACCGCAGGGAGTCGCACAGCACAGACAGGGCCTCACGGGTGGTGTCCACACCGCGGTGTGACCTCGCCTTGCGCTGCCCCCACAGGTTGGGAACAGCCCGGGTTTTCCTCACCCCGCCTCTAGGAGAGAGAAGCAGAAAGCTAGTCCCTTGCAGTTAAAGGCACCTTCCTGTGGGTGGGAGAAGCAGAATCGTGCCAGAATCTGTGCATCCAGGTTAAGGAACAGGCGGAGTAAATGCACCCTTGATCTGAACGCAGCCACAGCACGCGGCTCAGTAATGTGCTTCCACGCGTCTCGGAGTTCCTGGTGCCTGCTCCTTTCCCACTCCTTATGGTTGCTGATTATTCACCGTGGAGCTCAGGGCTGTGCACAGCGCAGGAGGAAGCAGTGATCCGCATGCGCAGATCTCACCAAGCATTCCATCCAGACTGTGCACCTCCTAGAAGGGTTATCTTTCTCACTTCTGTATCGTTCTACATAACTGAAAGCAAAGCTATACATTTGGAGAATCTATCACAAAACAATATAATAAATTGAATTACTGTCTCTTTTTTAAAAGAAGTAGAAGGAAGGTGTCATTTCAGGAAGGATTCGATTCCAGGACTGTGGAGATTAATGCTTGTTGATCCTCCAGAAGAGAATTTCATGGATCATCCATATTAAATTTTGTAAGACTGTAAATTAACATAACTATCCGCAGTGTGAGTTCTTTCTTATAGCTGGACATGCAGATAGATGTATGACTATGACAAGATTTGAAGAACTAACAGAGTTTCCGGGAACCTGCAAGCTCCAAGTCCTCCAGGGAGGGCTAATGTGCTTTCAAGTTTAAAAAGATTCTTTTTGACAGGAGATTTAGAAAATACTCTTCTGGGAAGGTGTGGTTTATTAAGATAGTTCTCAGAACACGCAAACCGTGGAGGTGATTTGCGTGTTTATAACATATGGCAGAGAATTTTCATAGGTTTTTGTTGTGCTTGCTTTTTGACATTTATTTTATTTTGAAAGTATCACTTTCAGTTCATCATATAATTTCTAATGAATGGAAATTAAATATTTCTTTGTGAATATTAAATTTTATAAAAATAGTCCACCCTCAAATAAGAAGTAAACACTATCACTAGGTGACACTAAAATGTATTGAAATACAAATCTATAATTCAGATGCTTCCATTGATTTACATATTTGCATAAGTTTTCTTAATAAAACTATTTTTGTAAGTCAATAAAATATCTGAGTTTAAATAAAGGGATTGGAACACATTTTAACAAACTGACAAATTTATTATATTTTGTTATATGTGCTTGCCATCTTCAGATGAATGTTTGTGGCAGACAAGGAAATCAATTTACAAAATCATTCCACATTTAAGAACTGTAATAGTTGAATATGTCACACTTAGTAAAGTTATAAGTTAAAATAACATTGTTTTATGTATGCCATAGCATTGCAGGCACTCTTAGGAAAGACTGATGACTTGGCCAGATGGAAAATTACACACAGACCTCGACTAACTTCATCCTCCTGGGCCTGTTTCCCCCATCAAGGGTTGGCCTTGTCCTGTTCATTCTCATCCTCCCCATCTTCCTAATGGCACTGGCTGGCAACCTGGTCATGGTCCTGCTCATCCTGCTGGATGCCCACCTCCACACTCCCATGTACATCCTGCTCAGTCAGCTCTCCCTCATGGACCTCATGTATATCTGCACCACTGTCCCCAAGATGGCTTCTGGTTTTCTATTTGGAAACAAGTCCATCTCCCTCATCGGGTGCGGGTTCCAGAGCTTCTTCTTTTTGACTTTAGGAGGAGCAGAAGCACTGATACTGATGTCCATGGCCTATGACCGTTATGTGGCTATCTGCTTTCCTCTGCACTACCCCGTCCACATGAACAGAAGAGTGTGTGTGCTGATGATCCTGGGATCTTGGACAATAGGTGCTATCAATGCCTGTGCTCACACAGTATACATCCTCCGGATCAATTACTGTAGGTCCAGGACCATCAACCATTTTTTCTGTGATGTCCCAGCCATGCTGTCCCTGGCTTGTGGGGACACCAGGGTCCATGAGTACACCGTGTTCCTCAGTACTGTCGTCTTTCTCCTGTTCCCTTTCATCATCATTATGTTTTCCTATGGGAAAGTTCTCCTTGCTGTCTACCGCATGCACTCTCAGGAAGGCAGGAAGAAGGCCTATTCCACCTGCAGCACCCACCTCACCGTGGTGACTTTCTACTATGCACCTTTTGTGTATACCTATCTCCGCCCAAAGTCTTTCCGGTCTCCAGCAGAGGACAAGGTTGTGGCTGTCTTCTACACCATCCTCACCCCAATGCTCAACCCTATGATCTACAGCCTGAGGAACAAAGAGGTGACGGGGGCCCTGGGGAGAGTGAGTGGGAAGTTGTGCTCTTTAAAACTGTAGGTGTATTTTTGCCTCAGTGTGTTCAGCAGTGGAGGGCTAATAGGAAAGTTTGTAATTTTGAAGCCTCAGAAACAAATGTTCAAGATTTTAAAACTTGAAGATGTAACATGATAGTAATTATTTGTTCCAGTGTGCAAATTTTCTTTTCTTTTCTGTACTTTTTTTTGTTTGTTTGTTTGTTTTGTTTTTTGGTGCCATGGATGGAACTCATGACCACATGCTTCTAAGGCAGGCACTTATGCCACTGAGCTAAATCCATGGCCCCAAATTTTCTTTTTTTTTTTTTTTTAAATCTCACCTTTCCCCCCAAAAAATGGGTCTCTATTTTTCTTCAATTTGAGAACAATATTTTATTGTAATGAAGAAACTAAAATGAGAAATGCATAAAACTTCAGACCTTTAGAATGGGCTATGTGATCAATACCTTGGAGGAGAATTTTAATTTTAAATATTACAGTGAAAGGCATGTTGCCATGAGTACCACTCAAAACACCCAGGCTTACGTGAACACACTCCCCCACTGTCTGGGCCTCTTTTCTTACGTCTTCTTTAGCTGAGTCACGCATCCCGCGGGATATGTGCATGTAATGGGGTAAATCATGTTATTCCTTTTTCTCAAGTTTATTTGCAATATATAAAGGGAATTTTCCTGAAAACATGTATTCAACTCTATGCTCCCACTTCATTTATTCATCCTGGACTCAGGTTTACCGAGTGTGACAGAAGGGAGCATTGAAACCAGCTGAGCTTTGTTATCATCTCCAATAACAGTGTCTGCTGACCCACGGGCTGTGTGCTCAAACACTGCAACCTTAAATGATAATTACTGGGAGGATTTAACATTCACCCCAAACAGTGCATTCTTATTGCCAGCGGATAAAAGTGGAATATAACACATGAAAAATTATGACACTATCTTTCAACTCTTGACTCTTCAATGAAATATAACTTTGCACATCCATTGATGAAGCACAGAAATGCATCCATCTCCTGTTTACTGTGTGTAATTTTTTTTTTCTTTACTTCAACTGTTTTTCGCATTGTTTCTGAGACAAAATATCACAGTTTTCTGCGGGGTAAACTTTAACTGCTGGCTAGAGCAGTCCACTTTGCCTTTCTTCTGGGGTGTAACCTACAGGAATGTGCCACTGCAGGGAACCAGTGCCAATGCCTGACTGCTGCTCTTGAGGACATGGAATGGGGCTTTACCTTTCAGGTGAATGAATATGAGCATTCATACAAAGAGTTATGTGAAGTAGTAAATAATTCCCCTGAGCCAAACCTAGTTATTCTGAGAAAACTGAGAGCAACAGCTGTATTTGATGCAAATTTTGACTCCTGATGCCTTCCAGTTTGAGCTCACCCCCTGGTGTCTCCACAGTAACTGAGGGGTCAGATTGTGGAAAGTGAAATCTTGGTCTCTCCTTTCTTCAAAGCGCTCTCAGAGTGCCAGTGTTTCCCTTGGTCTCCAAAGACACATGTGGGCTTCAGGAGACTCTCTGGTCCTCCTGTATCCTTGCTTGTGTCACTCACACAAGGCCCTGGGCTCCCTAGAGATGCTGCTGCCCTAGTCAAACCTCAGTGTCTGGTGTTCTTGCTTAGCTTCATCTTTCTCCCCCTAGAGTCTCAGAACTGTCCCAGGGGAGCTAGAGTCACCACCAGAAAAGCTCTAGGTTGTGGAATCCTCCTCAGGACCCTCCTTCCATGTCCAGCAATGTTGCTCATCTCCTCCATCCTCAGAGTTCAACCCCCTGGGAGCCTGAAGAACCAAACAGGGCCAAGCTTTAATGCTCAGGGCAACTTGGTGATTGTAATAAAGAGGAGCTTCAGCTTTTCAAAGATAGGGGTATTCAAAGTCTGTGAATTTTGATAGCAGGGTATTGGTTCTGTCAGGAATATTGGAAATTCAAATCTGTTTAAATCCTTAAAAATGTGGTGTAATGTTATTCATTCATGAAGAGAATACATGGTTAATTTATTTATTAGAAATAAGATACTTGAGAACATTATTATGATTATATTTATAACAAAATTAATTAGTGAATACTTTGGGTTTTTTTTGTTTTTTTTAAATTTTTTAATTTTTTTTTTATTTTTATCTTTTTATTTTTTATTTAAGAGGAAAAAGAGAAAAACACAAAACAAACCAAAGCGGTGTAAGGGTACACGTAATACAGAACTACAAAAAACAAAACAAAACAAAACAAAAAAAAACAAAACAAACAAACAAAAAAAACATAACAGTAAGAAATCACATGTTAGTATGTTACATATTATCATCTTGAAAATAGTTCCTCAAATCACAGTATCAAAGAATACAAGGTGGACATTCAAACAGGTAGACTGCAAACAGCTGTGTTCAATGATCCAAAAACATTGATACAGTCAGCTATTTAACACCCCTAAACACACATGCTGTTATATCCGTTAGAGCTCTTTTTCTTTTTTTTTCCCTCTCTTTTTTACAACAAAATTCACGCACTTTGGATTTCATTACTCCTTAGTGCTTATTACTTTTTTTTTTGGGGGGGGAGAATACAGTCAAATATGGCAAAACAAAGCTGTCAGTCAATACCAAGGATAGACATAGCACATGATGTAGAACAGAGTACAAGTTTATCAACAATGGTTATCAACGTTGTCCCTTGTTTCCTTAAAAAGAATTGTCTATCTCATTAGATATTATAAAGTTGGACAAAACAGTAGAGAACAAGACCAATAAAACTTAGGCATTGTAAACATTACAGGACTTCCAAAGAAGACAATAGTCAATACTTTGTAAATTAACCCCTCCAAAATTATAAAATCACCTTCATTATCTATTTTAAGAAAATAGATTTTTTTTTGTAATTCAGTTAACTTTTCCAGAGGAAATATTCAGGACATTTAGAAAAGTTTGTACATGATATTGACATAGGAATCATTTAGGATCCACAAATGATATATAGGGGGTATAATCAACTGATAATATTAGTAGGGTAACTGCTTATTTAACATTGATCCAGGGGGAAGCAAGTCATGTAGCAAATGTACATGTAAGGAATAAAGAACATTTAGAAGTCCTGTGGTCCTAGTTACTCATGGAGGTGACTGATGCCTCTCTAGACTGTACTTGACCGGGGGTTGCCAATATCTCAGGCCTGGCCATTCCTTCTTTATTTGGAGACCTTACATTAAACAGATGCACGCATTGCAATGAGTTTTCACCTCTGTCCTGACTTTCTCATTGGCCTGTGCCTCTCTGACTGTCTGAAGTATTTATATCAATCTCAGCTTCTGTAATACTGTAATACAGGTTCTGCATAACCAGACCCTGCCACTAACTACAATACCCCAAAGCCTCTCTGTGCCAGCCCTCCCAGATTTGTTCTTGTCACCAAGCACATCACCCTCTGCCATCTGCAGAAGACTATGGTAGCCAAGATTTCACAGAAGCATCTTAAAGACTCCGAGTCATCCAGGAACATTTTACTCTTGAGCCTTTTAGTTGTTCATAATAATACAAGAATTTCTACTTGTGTGTTCTTATTAAACTCATTTCATTGTCATATACTTTCTTCCAAAAAAACTGGTAAATGAATAGTGCAAGCAGGCCATCATAACCATGCATGCACTGATCACAACCTGAGCACAAAAGATGCCCTGGAATCTCAGAGGCAGGATGGCATGGGATGCTCCAAGGGAACCTGTCTGCTCTTCCCCATGGCGTTGGCCCTGGCAGCCTGGAGAGCATCTCAGTGCCCACTAGGACTCTGCCTTCCCTTTGGCTACAGGCCAGGCCATGTCCTCAGTGACTGGCTCTCTCCTGTCCTGTTCTCAGTGGACATTTCCCAGAATCACAGCCCATCCTTAGCCAGTTCACAGCACACAAGGACAGGAATCATGATGCTGCTGAGGCTTCTTGGAGGTCTTTGCAATGTCAAGTGCAGGAAGGAGAGGTGAGAATGCACATTTGCTAAGGCAGTGCTCAAAAAGCTTACTCAGAAAAATGAAGGAGCACACTTGTGACTTGGGGCTAATTGCCAACTTGACTTGGTAATGAGACTCTGGGAGAGTGCCTGGATCTGCAGGGTGATGCTCTGCTCAGCAGACAAATCCACAGGTGTTTAGACCTAAAGGAGCTCTCAGGAGCTAGGGCAAGGCTGCAAGTGGGCAGGGCTGTGGGTCTCTGAGGCTGCATCTGCTTCTCTCTCTTTCTGACCCACGCAGGCTCCTGCCTTCTGTGCTTTGAGCAGCTTTGCTTCTCCTGCCTGCTGTTCTAAGGATCCTGCCTTGAAACTAGAGGCCCTTGAGATCCATATAAGCCAAATTAAACTGACTTTCAAAGTTGTGAGTGTTGCATATTTTGTCTGAAACTTCAACACAGACCAGAGAAGAACAAAGGGAAAGAAGGAAAGCATACCAGTACCAGGTAAGTAAGGCAGTTAGATTTTCAATGTGAAGCCACAATAAAAGGCAGTGATTCTAATTCTGCCTTTTATTTACTACATGGCAGGAGAAATTCTGGCAAGTGCTTAAAAGAACTTAGTTTCAGAAACAGATTAGAAGTTGGATTTGAGGATGTTTCTATCTCTGTGCAGCAAGCATCCTGCACTGTGAGGTGAGGCCAACAGGAACAGATTTTGGAGCCAACCCTGAGCATGTCATCTGCAGGGGGTGCAGATGGTGTCCAGGAGTAGGGAGAGCCGGTTCCCCTGTGTGTGCTGACTTTGGCAAGAGCGGATATGTGAGACGAGCTGTGGTGCCTTTGTAGAATCAATGACAGCAAAGCCACACCAATAAAACTGACTTAGCATTCCTGGTTAGTATGCTTAGAGCAATCTAAGCCAGGTGGGTCAGCTTATGGGTTTGTCAGGAGCAGCAATATATTTGAGGCATTGTGAGAAGATAAAAGTGATTTAGAATTCTGAAAAACCAGTTAGACTCTGTCATGAACTCAATAAATGTGTGTATACTTATTTAGCACTTAAATGTTTGACACTATATTCCATTTAGTGCTT